AGTCAAAATGGCCATGAAAGGTAAATGTTTTGAATCGATTCAGGACATTGAGGCAGTCACGACAGTGCAACTAACACTCATGAAAGAGGACTTTTAGAACTGCTTCAGAAAGTGACAAGAAAGATGGGATAAGTGTGTTCAAAGTGAGGGGGAGTATTGTGAGGGGGATTAATGGCAATGTGTCTTTTACTGTAATAAATTTTTTAATTTAAACACTCACTGTATTTTTTTTTTAAGATTTTTATTGGGGGATGGGAACAGTGCTGGGGAATTGAAGGAAGGGGAACAGACAAGTTGCTGTCGCTTTGTTCTTCAGTCTAGTTATGGAGGACGTTGCTTCACTGGCCCAACTTGGCACCATCATTGCGCTCTTTCTGGGTGAGGCAGATCAGTTGCCGGCTTCTGGATGGCCGCTCACTGCGGCTGCTGGCTGCTCACGCTGGCTGCTGGCTATATACGGTAGCCCATGGCAACCCACTGCCACAGGGGCTGCAGCCTATGCTGTCGCCGGCGACTCACAGCAGCTCAGCTCCAGGTTGAGCTGTTGTTCAGCATTTTAGCTGTGGAGGGCAGTGTCACTGGCCCTCATATGTGGGATCCGAACTGGGGCCCTCTGGCGTCCCAAGCCAATTCTTAACCATGGCGCCACTCAACCGGCCCACTCACTATTTTTTAATCACACCTTGTGCATATGCTGCCTACAAGAGACCCAGTTCAGATAGAAAAACACACACAAACTGAAGGTAAAGGGATGGAAACATATTCATGCAAATGGAAAAAATTTAAAAAGCTGGAGAAGCAAGCAATGCTTACATCAGAAAAAAAAGACCCTAAAACAAAGGCTATAACAAGAGACAAAGAAGGATATTTCATGAGAAAGGGATCAACAAACTAAAGGATATAACCCTTGTAAACATTTATACACCCAAACAGGAGTGCCTAATCACATAAAGCAAATATTGACTGACATAAAGAGAGATATTGACAGTAACACAGTCATAGTAGGAGACGTCAAGGATATATCTTAGGTGTCCTTTAGGGTCCAATGACACAGTCTCCCTGGTCACCTGAGCCAGGTGCTCAAATGATGTCCCTTGTGTGTCTTGTATGTAAACCCCTGTTGTAACTGAGCCGTGATTTCTGTCGGCACATCAGTGGGAGGGATTTAACCTCAGGCTGATTAGTTGTTGGAACTGGCCATAATTATCCCCATTGACTTTAAGGGATAGATCTTCCAGCCCAATCCCCCCTCCAAAAAAAAATCAACAAGGAAACAACAGCCTTAAATGACACTTTAGATCAGATAGATTTAATTGATATTTTTAGAGCATTTCATAGAGCAGCAGAATATAAATCCTTTTCAAGTGCACATGGGACATTTTAACAATTAGACCACATGTTAGGCCGTAAAACAAGTCTCAGTAAATATAAGAAGTTTGAAATATATCAAGCATCTTCTCTGACCACAATGGTATAAAACCAGAAATCAATTACAAGAAAAACAACAGAAAAACACACAAATACGTGGAGGCTAAATACATGCTACTAAACAATGAATGAGTCAACAATGAGATCAGGAAGAAATAAAGATAACCTGAGACACACAAAAATAAAAACACAATGACCCAAAATCTATGGGATAAAGTCAAAGCAACCCTAGTGGGAAATTCATAGCAATACAGGCCTACCTCAAAAACCAAGAAAAATCTCAAATAAAAAATCTAACCCTACACCTAAAGGAACTAGAAAAAGAACAGCAAATAAAGCCCAAAGTGAGGAGAAAGAAAAAATAATAATAAAGATCAGAGCAGAAATAAACAAAATAGAGTGTAAAAAAGCAATACAAAAGATCAATGAAACCAAGAGCTGGTTCTTTGAAAAGATAAACAAAATTGATAACCCTTTAAGATTCACAAAACAAACAAACAAACAAACAAACAAACAAACAAACAAACAGAGGGCCAAAATGAATAAAATCAGAAATGAAAGAGAAGTGACAACTGACATCACAGAAATACAAAAGATTATAAGAAAATACTACAAATAATTTTATGCCAACAAATTGGGCAATCTGGAAGAAATAGATAAATTCCTCAAAACATACAATCTTCTAAGACTGAATCAAGAAGAAACAGAAAATCTGACAGATTGGTAACTATTAATGAAATCAAATCAGTAATCAAAAAATTTCCAACAATCAAAAGCCCTCTACTAGATAACCTCACAGTTGAATTTTGCCAAATATTCAAAGAAGAATTAACACCTATCCTTCTCAAACTATTCCAAAAAATTGAAGAGGAAGGAATTCTCCCAATCTCATTTTATGATGCCAGCATTACTCTGATTCCAAAATCAGACAAAAATATTAAAAAAAAATTATAGGCTAATATCCCCGATGAACATAGATGCAAAAATCCTCAACAAAATATTAGCAATTCAAATTCAGCAATACATTCAAAAGATCATACATCATGATCATGTGAGATTTATTCTTGGTATTTAAATTTGGTTCAATATCTGCAAATCAATTAACATGATACACCACAACAAAACGAAGGATAAAAATCAAATAATCATATCAATAGATGCAGAAAAAGCATTTAACAAAATCCAGCATTGATTTATGATACAAACTCTTAGCAAAGTGAGAATAGAGGGAATATACCTCAACATTAATAAAGGCCATATATGACAAACCCACAGCTAATATCATACTCAATGGTGAAGAGCTAGAAGTGTTTTTCTTAAGATCAGGAATGAAACAAAGATGCCCACTTTCACCACTTCTGTTCAACATAGTATTGGAAGTCTTCCACAGCAATCATACAAAAAAAAAAAAAAAGAAATAAAAGGCTTCCAAATTGGAACGGAAGAAGTAAAACTGTCATTATTTGCAGATGACATGATACTATATGTAGAGAATACTAAAGATTCCAGCAAGAAAAACTATCAGACCTGATAAATGAATTCAGCAAATTAGCAGGATACAAAATTAATATTCAGAAATTTGCATTTTATACACTAATAACTATCAGAGCAATTAAGAAAACAATCTCATTTACAGTTGCATTAAAAAATGAAATAACTATGAATAAATTTAACCAAGGAGTTATAAAACCTGTATGCAGAAAATCATGACATTGAAGAAAAAAATTGAAGAAAACACAAATAAATGGAAATATATACTATGGTCATTGGTAGGAAGAATTAACATCATTAAAAAGTCCATTCTAGCCAAAACAATCTATAGATTCAATGAAATCCCTGTCAAAATACCAATGGCATTTTTCACAGAACCAGAACAAATAATCCTAAAATTGATATGGAATCACAAAAGAACTTGGATAGTCCAAGCAATCTTGAGAAAGAAGAACAAAGTTGGAGGTATCATTTTACCTGATATCAAACTATACTACAAAGCTATAGTAATCAGAACAGCATGGTATTGGCATAAAAACAGACACATAGATCAATGGAACAAGATAGAGAGCCCAGAAATAATCCCATGCCTATATGGTCAATTAATCTATGACAAAAGGAGATAAGAATATACAATGGGGTAAAGACAATTTCTTCAGTAAATGGTGTTGGGAAAAACTGGACAGACAGATGCAAAAGAATTGAACTGGATCACTTTCTTACACATATACAAGAATAAACTTAAAACAGATTGAAGACTTAAATGTTAAGACTTGAAACCATAAAACTCTTAGAAGAAAACTTAGGCAGTAAACTCTTTGACATTGCTCTTAGTAATATATATGATATGTCTTCTTGGGCAAAGGAATCAAAATAAATAAATAAATAAATAAATAAATAAATAAATAAATAAATGATGTACATCAAACTGTCTCGGCAAATTGAAGGAAACCATTAACAAAATGAAAAGACATCCTACTAAATGGGAGAAGATATTTGCCCATGATGTATCCAATAAGGGGTTAACATCCAAAATGTGTAAGGAATCCATACAACTTAACATCAAAGAGACAAACAACCCAAATAAAAAAGTGACAGAAGACCAGAACAGACATTTCTCCAAAAAGGTCTTACAGTTTTGTCAAAAGACATATGAAAAGATGATCAACATCACTAATCATCAGGGAAATGCAAATTAAAACCAGTGAGATATCACCTCACATCTGTCAGAATGGCTATCATCAATAAATCAACAAACAACAAGTGTTGGTGAGGCTGTGGAGAAAAGGGAACCCTCATGCAATGTTGATAGAATTGTAAATTGGTGTAGCAATTACGGAAAACAGTATGGAGAGTCCTCAAAAAATTAAAAATAGAACTACCATATGACCCAGCAATTCCACTTCTGGGTATTCATCCGAAGAAGTCCAAAGCACTAATCCAGAAATATATATGCATCCCTATGTTGTTTCAGCATTATTTACAATTGCTAACATATGGAAGCCACCTAAATGTTCATCGAAAGATGGATTGGATAAAGAAGTGGCACATATATTCAATGGACTATAACTTGGCCATAAAAAATAATCAAATCTTGCCATTTGAGAGAACATAGATGGACCTAGAGGGTATTATGCTAAGTGAAATAAGTCAGAGAAAGACAAATACTATAGGATCTTACTTATATGTGGAATCTAAAAAGCAAAATAAATGAACAAAGCAGAAAATAACTCATAGATACAGGGAACATTTTGATGCGGTTTTGATGCAAGATGGGAGGGAACTTGGGGGATAGATGAAAAAGAAGGGATTAGGAAGTACAAACTGCCAGTTATGAAAACAATCTCGGGGTTGTAAAGTACATCTTAGGGAACATGGTCAATAATATTGTAATAACTATGTCTGGTGTCAGATTGGTTCCAAACTTATTGCGGTGATCATTTTGTAAGTTATATAAATGACCAATCACTATGTTGTATACTTGAAACTAATATAATATTGTATATTAACTATAATTGAAAAATAATTATTAATATATAAAAAAGAAAGTCAATTAATGAACACTATTTATTGAATAACAATCCATTCATTCCCACCCCCAAATTGAAGTGACATTTTTTATGAACTAAGTTTGTAAATATATACATGAGTTTGTTTCTGTGCTTTGTAGTAGATTTTCTTGGTCTCTTTGTTTATGTCTTGGTCAATATCACACTCCTTTGTTTACTATAGCTTTATCATATGTTTTGGTATTTACAAGGAATCAATTGTTTTTTAGGTGTCTGTCTTCTACTAGATATTTGATGGATAAGACTGAGTCATATTTGTCTTTAAATGTCAAAGACCTTTTACCTAGTTTGCATTAATGTGTGTTGAATGATGAAAATGAATAAGCCCAGAAGGTATTGGTACTTTGCTGGTACACTTTGCATTCTCAAGGTCTCAAAGACCATGGCGAAAGTATCAATTTTCTCAGTTTGTACTCCACTTCCTATTGTAGCTCAGTACTTCAGTAAGTTATTTCATAGGAATCTTATTATTATTACTTAATTTATTTTTGAGTAAGTAGTGCATCTACAGTATACAAAACTAAAAAGGCAAAAAAGTCAAACATTAGGTCTCCCCTCAGTTCTTAAAAGGTAATTATACTACCAATTGCTCCTTTAACCTTCCAGAATGGCAGCATACTATCCACTCTGCACTGCATCTTGCTGCTTATTTTTGTTTAAAATATATTTGGAGATTATTCCATATCAGTACAGATGATGCTGTTTCATGAGATGGTTGTGCTGTTTTATTTAACCAGGATGGCAATTCAGTTGTTTTAGTAAGTACCCTTTATATGTATAATGTTTTCAAATATCTAGAATAAAAGTTCTGCACATGAAATTGGTGGCCAAAGGGTATTTGAATTTTTTCAGCTTTGTTTTATGTCATTAAGTTGCCCTCCAAAAAGTATCTTGAAATTTCATGAATGAAGACCTGATGGCACAGCCACCAGGCTTGAGACTTGCTCAGACAGGCATTGAGTAATGGGGAGACGCTGTGGAACCTCTAGCTGGGACCCTGACAGCCAGTGGAACTCTGCATGTGTGCGTGGGTGTGCATGTATGAGCGTGTAAATGCACACGTGCACAGGAATGGGTGTGTGTTTGATGTACACATGGTAAGAAACATAAGGAAGAACTCTAAAAGTCAATTAGTGTATTAGAGTCCTGTTTAACAAAGCTCTAATAATGAGTGGAAGTGTTAGTGCTTTGAATAAAGCTCCTTTGACTTTATTATTCATTAGAAACTGGCAGTAAATAATAGGTTTGAATTTCACAGTCCTGATGCTGCTGATCAAAGCACAGAACATTTCTTAAGACCCTCAAATATTATCCTTCACAACAGGAGCATAAACGGAATTTGGTTTTACAAATTACTAACTGGGACACTAGCCTCTGTTTGGGTCCTGAGCTGATTCCGAGGGAAAGAGGCTGGAAATCACATCTTGAAACTGGAACACATCTTACAGATTGGGCAGAGCAGTATTTCCTCCAGCTCCCAATCCTGTACCTACCTGGACTCAGCTGGAATAAGTGGCCCAGCCCAGATTAAAGAGCCCCTCCTTTCCCTTGTTGGCAATGGTTCATGATGTTTCTCTGGAAGAGACTTTTTTCTAAGCAGGAAAATAGCTTTGCCTGTGGGACAGGTGGCTACTTTTGCTATGTCCTCTTAGTGAGTTGGTGCTGGGTTTAAATTGTGTACCTCCCCCTCCCCACCCATCTCATTTCCATCTGATATGTCGTGTTTTTCTCCCTTCTCTCCACTCCTGCCCCCATTAATGTTTGTGTTGGGGGGATTTTCTCTTTCCCTGTATGTTTTTCTCCACACAAAGGGAAAGAAACAAAACACCAAACTCTCATCTCTTTTTTTCACATGATAAGGACAGAAATAAGATGGATCCTTACCTTCTGTCTTTCTTCCTTTCTCCCCTAGAATCTCCTCCCTTATTTTTGAAGCTCCTCATGATTTCTGGTAACCTGCAGTGTAAGAGGAGGAGGCTGTCCCCCTCTGTTTGACTGGCTTTCCCTTCCCTGTCACATCCTCCCAGCCCAACACTGCTTTCTGCATTGTCATCATTGAAGGATGGATGACTAGGCCTGCCAGTCTCTATGGGCTTTTCCTGGGTCATAGGACCCTTGTGTCTCCCTTATGTTACCTTTCAGTGCCTGCTTCACCTGTCACTTCAAGTACAAGGGCTTAGAACAGCCAATTAGTACAGACAGAGAAAATGCCTTAAATAAAGCTTTGGCCAATATCATTATACTTTGTAACAAAATTTTATTAGGATTAAGTCAAATTATAAAAGTTCATGCTTCACCATTTGCCAAGTTTACCTGGAATGACCAGATTATATTTAGCTGAATATAAAGCAACGTATGTCTCTAGATCCTGCTGTTTGAAAACCAAGAAAATTGACATGCATAGCAGTGTGCCCGACACTACCCTGGTTAATATTTAAGGCCTAACAACTGGTCAGCAAAGCATATGTCACTTCCAACCTCTGGGCCCGAGGAAGACTTCATTCCCTACCTCCCTGAAACAGACTCATAATGGCCTGGGCACGTGACGCTTCCTTCTTGGAGTCTAATATCAACATCTGCATTTCAGGAGAAGCTAGGCTTGAGGTATCTGTATAGCTTAAAGGCACTGGTCATGCAGCTGCATTAAAAGCTATTTATTGTATTGGTCTCTCTGTCATAGGTCATGGGCCATGCCTTGTAATGGGAGTCATGATGCTGCCTCCTTGACTCCTCAGTATGGTCCATGTCATCAGCTCTGCTGCTCTCTCTCCTGCTCCTGTGCTGCTAACCAGCTGAGAGTGGAATTGGAGGACAGGTCAGGGCTCCTGCCTTGTCTCCTGCCATGTGGAGAGCAACCTATGCTGCAGAATCTCATTACCCAGCATGTATAGGGGACCCACTAATGACCCAAGAAAGACTCAAATGCAAGCAAGGATAGGAAGGCTCATTCTTCAGGTGAAACATGGTATGGGAAAAAGAAACCAACTTTCCCTTGAAAGGGGTCCTGACAAGTTGAAAAGCAAAACTGCATTTAGTGCAGGGTACACCCACTGGAACCAACCCCTTTATTCAATAGGAGAAGCAGCTTGGAAAGGATGCCAATGAGAATGGGGGTTTTCCTGTGTCGTGGGTTCTGTGAGGCTGTCAGCAGTGCTATCAAGCACTTATCTGGGTTCTGCAAATAGTCCTGGGATCATTAAGTGCACGTGGGAGTCTAGGCCCTAAAAATGTAAACTTCATCAAATACTAAATAAGTGGACAGTCCCTTCAGCTTAGGAGCAATATGTTATGCTCAGAAACTCTTTTTCTTATGCTTTAACTCTCCATAATGATGCAAATAAAATCCAAAAATCTAAGTGAAGGGCCTAGAGTGCTGCATGCAGAGAAGAAACATACTGCAGACACAGAACACGTGTCTCGTCCTTACAGCAGCTGGACTCCTGCCTTCCTCCCCTCTCCTTTCCCACCCTGCCCAATTCATTAATAAGAATGGTTGCTGTCAAAACTTAAATTCAGTTGCATAATATACAGGGATGATAATAAATTCTCATTTCTTCAGGCACCAGAGGATACATATGACAAGGTTTTGATTCTCTCCAATTTATGCTCAATATATTTTCCAGCCTCTGCTCTGCACTGCCTCGTCAGCTTGGCTTGTGTTCCTCAGTGAGCCCTTCATTACTTGTGATTACACCCGCACTTCTCATGCCCATTAATTCAGTTGGGATTGACCCAGAGTTTGCTCAAGCTTGAGTTCATAGCCTCCCAGGCCGAGGTCCCCCTCATAAATGTTTTCCTTGTTTGGAGTCTGGGGTGAAGCTTTCTTGTCCAGACCCAGCCTTGCAGGAGTACTGGAGGGTGAGGTGGCTTGTTCCTGGTAATTCATGGCCAGTTCATCCTGATTTACGATGCATTCTACATCATCCTCCTTTAGCTGTTCCTGGGATTTAAGGTAGGGGATGGGTGGGGGGTGGAGAGAGAGAGAGAGAGAGAGAGAGAGAGAGAGAGAGGGATTACTTCATGATGAAGGCAAAAACCAGTCACAGCCCAAAGTGTAAGGAAATAGGGTGCTTTTGTCCTCTTTAAACTGCCCTGTCTTGCCTTGGCTGCACTTCCTGCTATAGCAGACACTGCCTTTTCCATCTCTGTGGGTGTGGTGGTACATTTCCCAGAGTTGCATTGAAGACTTGACACCATAACACAGTCATAAGGGGTCTCTAGGCTGAAGATAAGAGTCTGTAGAGAGTGCCTGCTACTGAGTGCTCCTTGAGTTAAGGGAGTTAAAATGAAACTCAGTGCATTTCTTGAATTAGTATCTAATGGGGTTGAGAGGATGTAGGAGTTACAGAATCCTGTGACCTCAGAGCATGGAATGATTCTCAGTGTTGGTTTTGGTACATTCTAATGCTGGTTTTAGGCTATCACAAAATTCTCAAACACACAGTTTCTGTTATATTTAAAAAGTGTGTCCTCACAGCATGTTTCTTGGGATGAGTGTCACAAGGATAAAAATGGTTGGAAGTCACTGTGGTAGAAGATGGCAGAAACCAACCAGCTCTGGTTAGTATAGTTTTCTTCAGATGGAGGTTCCTTGGAAGGAAAGAATTACCATCTCCACCCTTCTTCCACTGGCTTTGGGAAAGCCAGGAAAATTCCTTGTAGCAAGAGCCCTGGCGAGGTGACATCAGGCTAGTGGTTTCCAAGGTTAGCCTGTGCGGGAATCACTTGGAAGGCTTCTGAGAACACAGATCCTGGGTCCTAAACTCAGAGTGTCTGAGGTGGGGCCTGATCATTTGCACTTATAACAAGTTCCCAAGTGCTGCTGAGGCTGTGGGTCTGGGGACCAGTCTTTGGGAACCACTGCCTTAGGCTGTTGTGCCCTGAGCACACCTGAGATGTGTTGTTCTGTTTACACAGGGGAGCCAGCTGAACAACCTGGAAGGGTGCCTCCAAGTCTAAGATTATGCTCCTTTGCAATCCCTGCCACTCTGATTGGCTGCTAATGATTCTAATTGCTTGCTTTTCAGCATTTTTTCTTCCACTTCCATGAGCTATAAAGAACAGGTCCAATGTTCAAAGCCTCTAAACACAGCAGTTTGTGAGGACACATGACTTCTTTTACATTTTCTAAACTCATTTTATGGTTAAAGATATTTGTAACAACAAAAAAATTGCATTTTTAAAAGAAGAATGAGCCCACATCAATAGCAACTGAAAAGAGAAGAGAAAAGCTTCTTGGTGCAGTGAATTTTCAAAATGCTTCCTCCTGAAGCCAAGAAGGAATAGCCCTGAGCTTCCTGAGCTCAGTACTCAGCATGCTTGTCCTGCTCCAGGCATTTACTTACCCCATAGGCCTGAGGACTGGTGAGCAGCCTGGAAATTGGACCGCACCATTCAGGCAACGTTGTGGTCAGCGGAGGACCAGAGTGGGTTAAAATTGGTTTCAGGTATCTGTGAGGCCTGTTAAGGAATACTTGCCAAAAGGGAGTTAGGATTCAGTTTCTCACACAGCACCAACCTTTGCATGCTGCCAAAGAGACCATTATGTTCACCTTTAAATCCCCCACTCCATCGTTTAGGAGGCAATTTGCCCTGCAAAAATTGCTGTTTATAATCTTTGCTCCACACATTTTTCCAGCCCTCCTGGTAGCCTTTAATTGTGAAGAAATCGACTGGACCAGCCAGAAGAAGAGAGGTGTAAAATGTTCCTCTTCTCCTTCCCCTCTCCCACTCAGTGTCTCATCTGCTTAGATAACACATTCTTAAGAATTATCTTAAACAGTAGGGCAAAGGATTATGTTTTCTTAAAACTGCACACACAGCTTAAACTACGAGTAATTTTCACAAAGAAGCAAGAGGTATTTCATGAAATGTTCAGTCATTTTAGAGCTGGGTAGTGAACATAGACTGGTTTCCAAAATACTTTATTTTCAATGTTCAACATAATCACTTCATACTTCATTTATCAATGCATTTTTATACAAAATTATGTAAATAAGCTGGTACCAGGTTTGTTCTATAGTCTAGCACCTGTCTTATCTCTTCACCACTAAGTGCTCTAACAAGTTAAAAGGAAAACCTGTTTCATCTAAAGCCATTGTGCTTCCCTTCAATCTATCAATAATGGGATACTCAGGTTGCCTTATTATTATTATTATTATTATTATTATTATTATTTGCTGAAAGAAAAGTAGTCTAATCATTTCATCATTCTACCAGAAACAAGTTTTAAGCTTTATATTATTCCCTTTGCTGGAGAATATTTCACTTCATCCACTTCCTGAAAAGCGTTAATAAGTTAGGAAAGGGCAGAAATGGAAAGCAGTTAATAGTGTTGGCTTGCGAAGATCCCAGTCACCCCCAGGACTCAGGACGTGAGACAATCTTGGAGATCGCTCTACTGGAGTCCATCCTTAGCTGGACAACACCTTCTATTGTTCCTGTGATACCCTCAGTGTGAGGGGTTGGAGAGAGGATGCAGCCAACAGGGGCCAAGAGTCTGGTTGCCACCAAAGTGGTGACAGAGCAGGGAGTGTTCATGAACACAGCCTAGTTATGATGCAGGAAAGTGACTCAAAAGATGCTTAAGAGGGTCTATAATTCCAATTGTGCATGGAAAACTTGATGGCTCTTTTCAGATAGGCAGTTATTCAGTTAAGGACTAGGGAAGATATTAAAGTTCAGAGCCTGGCATTCCCTGTAACATTTTATAAGTATATCTACAACTCTGGAAAGCCCCTGATGACCTTTCATTAATTTTTATTACAGAGTGTTATTTCCTTCTTTTATGGGTGGAGAAATGGAGGCCTAGAGATATAATTTTAAATAATCCAAAGGCTCCCTTTGCTATTTGAATCCATCTGCATCAACTCTCACAGAGGCTAATTTTTCAGGGCAGAAGCATGTACGTGACCAGCTGATTCTCTAGAGAGAAAAGCTCACAGATCTTATCCTGATGGAGTGCTATAGACCCTCTCAGGCGGGAGCAGTGAGGACCCCTGGTCTTCTTAGTCTTGTGGTATACATAAGTCAATGAAAAATGCTTTTTCAGGGAGGTGAGAAGGACAAGATAAATGCACAACTGGAATGTAAACCAAGGAAATTCCAGCCAATGTTATTCCTAGATGGAAAAGTGATAGCAAATAAGTAACATTTTTAGAGATGTCATGTAAAAAACCAAAACAAAAAGAAAATAAAGAGGTTTGTCAAGGCTCTAGGAGAGGACTGACAACTTCCACTGTGTGAGGTTCTCAGTATCCTAAAAAATCAAAATGCAAAATAGTGGGACAAAAGGAAAACAAAAATTTAGACTTGTGTAATGAACATTTTCTACTTTTAATCTTTTTAAGTCTGTATAATGTGGGAGCTAAAACTTAAGGACAAAATTTGTAGCTTTCTGTGAATGTGAAGCATGGACCAAATGGGGTACCATTTGTCTCCCTCTGGGATTTTTGATTCAGAAGACCTGGGCATAGCTGTCATCTCTGCCACTTTACTGACGGTATGACCTGTGGTCTAGTTATTTACCCCTCTGAGCCTCGAGTATTGCTGTGAATATTTGCTAAACTAACATGTAGGATTGGTTTTAAACTCTTTCATGCCATTTAAATGCTATTTATTTTATTTAAAAATTTGTTTTCTCAGCAATAGTTTCAGGAGAAGCTGGTGACTCAAGCATTGTTCACATAATGTTGGAAAATGATACCAAAGGTAGAGATGCCAGAATGGCACTCCAGGCATTAGATATATAATCGAGACTTACGGACTAGTTAGCAGGTGGAAAATTTAAGCTGCCTCTACACAAAAAATAGCTATTTGGGTTAAAAGTTGTATGGAGCGAAAGCATGGGGTGGTAGGTGAGAGGTGGGGAAAACCTGTGATTCCACTTCGGCTTCTCTGGTATCTCAGTAGCTGTGAGTGAAGGAATGAGGCACACACCATGTGGCAGGGAATGGAACAGAATGTGTGAGGCGTCAGCCACAGCCCCAGCGATAGGGAGCAGAATCTGTTCTGCAGCATCTGATTTGCCCAGTGCTGCCATATATCATGTGCTCAATGGATGTTTGTTGAACTTATGATATGGGAAGATATTTAGGGGTGGCATGAGTGATGAAAGTAGATCCTGAGTAACCATGCTAAAAGAAGATTGAAGGCGGTGGAATACAGCCAAGGAATGAGGTTTATCTGAGGATAAAGGCTAAGAAAGGTCAAGTTGAAGATGGACCTTTTGGGCCTGAGTGATTAGATAAGGGGAACCATGAGAAGAGTTGTAATGGCATAAATAAAGTGGTTGAAAAATAATCTTTGTGTTTCACTCACTCACTCATTCATTTGTTCCTTCATACGCTCATGTTTTTATTTTTGTTTTACATGTCAAACTGCTGGGGCAACCACAGTGAAATTAACAATTACCTTATAGAATAGAAACCCCCTTGTCTCCAGACTGTGGTCTGCTTGAAAGCAGGGTAGTCCCTTTCATCTGAGTTGGCACATTTTAAATGTTCGAGAAATAGCTGTTAGATTATTGATGACAATGAGCTCAAAGAGAGTTACAGAATTAATTGCTCGGTGGAACCCAGCCAGTTAGTAAATGGCAGAGCTGGGCCTGAGACTGGGGACATTTCCACCATACTGGGGTGTCTTCCTTCTGTTATAGAGACACTGGGTAACAGGACTTGTCTGATTGGATAACTGATTTGGAATCCAGGAATCAGTGACTTTGCGAGTTCTTCATTGCTGAGTAATGTCTGGAAAGTGGCTAGATTTCCAGGGTTACCTGAATTATTAAAAAGTAAGAAAACTCTTTTGACTTACAAAAAACCCCAACTGCAGATTTTACAAAATGTTTTTTTCTCATCAGGTTTTAGTATATGTTTGGGAGGGAGATTCCCCATTGGGTATTTTTAGTATGGCTAGTTTTGCTTCTCTAATAAGCTAGGTGTGAGAGCATGAAGATGAAATGTTAAGCTCTGGGAGAAAAAAAAAAAAGACTTTTCTCATCTTTAAAGGGCACAAGTTTGGGAATGGCACTTTGGTTCAGGAGACGTAAGTAAAAGCTGGAACTCTACCCAGAATTTAACTTGCATGAAATAGGAAAGAGAGTTAGCAGACACTTTTCTCCTCTGGCCTGAGCTATTAGCAAGTCCAGAGCTAAATTTAGTGCTTAACAGAATTAACACCCAAACTACCTGATAACATTAGTTTCTCTTTCTCTCTTTTGTTTGTTAGTTTTGTTTTGGTTATTTTATTTATTTATATATCTTTTAATTTTTAATTAGAGTTGACATACAATATTATATTAGTTTCAGGTTTTCAACATATTAATTAGACATTTATATAACTTACAAAGTGATCACCCTGATAAATCTAGTACCCATGGGACACCATACATAGTTATTGCAATGTTATTGATTATATTTCCTATGCTATAATTTACATCCTCATAACTATTTTGTAATAATCAATTTGTACTTCTTAATCCCTCCCCTTTTGCACCCACTGCCCCAACCCCCTTGTCATTTGGCAATCATCAAAATGTCTCTGTATTTATGAGTTTGTTTCTGTTTTGTTTGTTCATTTATTTTGTTTTTTAAATTTGATGTATAAGTGAAATCATATGATATTTGTCTTTCTCTGTCTGACTTATTTCACTTAGCATGATACTCTCTAAGTCTATCCATATTGTTGCAGATAACAAAATTTCATTCTTTTTTTATGGCTGAGAAGTATTCCTGTGTGTATTCACGCCCAGGGTCTTGTTTTCTTATCCATTCAGCCACCCTATGTCTTTTGATTGGTACATTTAATCCATTTACATTTAAAGTAATTGTTTATAAATGTGTAGTTATTGTTATTTTATTATTCATATATTTCCTCTTCCTCCTCCTTAAATAAGTCCCTTTAACATTTTTTATAGTACTGGTTTGGTGGTGATGAACTTCTTTAGCTTTTTCTTGCCTGGGAAGCTCTTTATCTGTCCTTTGATTCTAAATGATAGCCTTGCTGGGTAGAGTAATCTTGGTTGTAGGTCTTTGCTTTTCATCACTTTGAATATTTCATGCCAATCCCTTCTGTTCTGCAAAGTTTCTGTTGAGAAATCAGCAGACAGTCTTATGGGAGCTCCCTTGTAAGTAACTAACTGCCTTTCTCTTGCGACTTTTTTTTTTTTTAGCTGAACCATCCTGCCACCTGTCGGCAGCTCAGCTTGGGCCGGGACTCGAACCGCTGTTGCTCAGAACTCGCAATCTTGAGTGAGCTCTTAACCAACCGAGCCACTCGGCCGGCCCTGTTGCTACTTTTAAGATTCTTTCTTTGTCTTTAAGCTTTGGCATTTTAGTTATGATGTGTCTTAGTTTGGGTTCATTTTGTTTTGGACTCTCTGTGCTTCTTGGGCTTTTATGTCTATTTTCTTTGTAGGTTAGAGAAGTTTTCCATCATTATTTCTTCAAATAGATTTTCAG